AATTTGTGTTTAGTTTGTTCCTGAAAATAAACTATCTAGGGGTGTGGTACAAGGTCGTATACGCCAGCCCACTCCTCATCGACCCTTGCTCTAGTATTTGTATATATGTTTGAAACTATATATATTGCACATCGACGGACACTTCAAAAACCCATTGGTTTTGAACAATATTGACTTCGAGTATTCCAAATCTCTACAGTTTGCGATGAAAGAAATATTGGAGTCGGGTCATGCTCGACATGTGATGGTTGTCAGCCTTTGAGTCAATCCACACAAACCTCAGAAGCATCAAATACAACCGACAACAGATGCTTAATGATAACAGATGCTTAATGATAACAGATGCTTGATGATAATAGATGCTTAATGATAACAGATGCTTAATGATAACAAATGCTTAATGATAACAGATGCTTAATGATAACAAATGCTTAATGATAACAGATGCGTACCATGCCGCAGTCGCATGTTACAGCACTCGCCATATATGTGAGCGCATTAGATCCCGTGCAGGCAAAGCTCGCCTTCATCCATAACTGGTTTGAATGACTTTCTGTATGTGATCTATGGCACTCGCCAGAGAGAGAGAGGGAGAGAGAGTCGCAAGACCAGTAAGCATACACACACACATATATATAACTGTAGATATGTCGACACACCTGCGACAGTAAGTATCGGGCCACACTCACGATAGAGTCGGCGGTGGTCTTGATATGCGCCTCAGCGTTCAGCAGAAACTTGACCGAGCCATCCTGCTTGAAGTTGAAGTAGATGTCGTTCCCTCCTGCACACACCAGATGGGTTGCCCTGGGATGTGTTCGAAACCAGCGACTGTGGTCAGCTATGCAGAGTGTAGGTGTGATGCTTTGAATTGCTTGGGGTTATACACCGTCCTGTGTGCTACCTGCTGGGTCAATAGCTTGTGTACAAAGTTACTTCTGGGCAGAGTCAATAGCTTGTGTACAAAGATCTAACAATATACAATTACTTGATACTTACTTCTGGGCCGGGTCGTAGTCGGGCGACGCTAAGAAGGCTTCGGCTTGTTGTGCGGCGCCCAGGACAGGCCACGATTCCGTCGGACCGGTTTTACCAACTGCAGAGAACATTTGTCATACAAGATAAGATATTTTGAACAAATTATTATTTGGGCCCAAAATATTTTTGGTTCGTACTCAAATTTCTATTTTTATAATAGGATGGTGCGGAGACTAGAATGTGCTCCGGTACTCAATGGCTGCAATTCAGGTTTATCCACAGCCAGAATAAACTTATTTCGATATGAAGTAACGGATACTGCTGAAGAGTAACAAACAGCGCTTGTGGGGTTGGGTTTGATTTCAGAACAACAGTACACAGTGGGATCATGACCAGGGCAGTTAGCCTATACAATTGAGCGTGACGGAACATAGATAAACGCAAAACGTACGTGCATGAGATGTGCACCACGGTGACGAGGGCGAAAGGACAGTATTATAAATAGAACTACTGCGCAGATAGCGACTCTCTCTATTCACAAGATATACATATATATACATTTACATATACGGATACACACACACGCACACACACACACACACACACACACACGCACACACACACATACACACACGCACACACACACAACACACACATATATATATACATACAAACATACAACATACATACATACATACTTATATATACATATATATAT